TGCTTATGCAAAAACCATAATTATAACGCCGGTTTATAGAACTCTGTAAGCAAATGTTTTAATAATAACATGATATGTTTGTTAGCAGTTTGTACATTTTATATTATTATGTCAATTTAATCAGATAAAATACTTATACAATATGTAACGTAATTAACGCACACCCTTAGACACCCCAATCAGTATATTATGTTATAATCATAATACATACACTGAATTTTTAGTTAAATATTTTTATGCACTGATTATTTATCAAATTAGTTATACTAATTCCGGAAAAATGTTGTGGTCACAGTACAAATCCACGAACGCAAAGACTTTAACGTGCTTGAAATAAATTTCATTTTTCTTTATTTTTATTGAATGACAGAATTAGTAATAATACAAATAAAACTGCACTCTTAAAAGTCTTATTGCCTTAAGTTACGGTCCATTTCAGTTCGTTTTGACTGTACAGATTTAGTGTGACTGTAATTTACCTAATTTTAATTATTTTTGGGATAAAAAATTACCTATATTAAAAATTATAGGAATCGATTCAGTAAACGATTCTAAACAAACTACTTTCTCAAAGTGCGTTAATTATGTTACGTGTTGTATATGATCAAATCGGCATCCTGAATTTTTTATCGATAACGCCAATCGTCAATCACTAACACATTTTAAATAAATAGTGACACTACTGGATAACAGAGGGCGCTTATGACAAAATAATAAATTTTCTAGAAAAATCTACTATAGTTCATAAACGATAGCTTGATCTCTGCGACAGCTGTCAGTAAAAATCACGCCTATGAAGTCCTGAATTTCTTAGTAGTACAGACAGTACCTGTCAATGTCATACTTTATGGGCATGCCGACCTAATTAGTGCATTTAAAAAAGATTCTCGGTCTTGTCACAAGGTTTTGTCAAACTTGTTTAGTCGTTGAGAAAATGGAATTGACTCGAGAAAATTCAAGAGCGATGACTTATTATGACTTTCGAAGTGGTTTAACACAAAAATAGTGTGTTGACCGGATGATTTCTACCTTTGGTGATGAAGCCCCATCCAAAACCACAATTTATCGCTGGTTTGCTGAATTTCAACGTGGACGTGTCAAGCTCAGTGATGATCCCCGTCAAGGTCGTCCAAAAACTGCAGTCACCCAAGAAAACGTTGATGCTTGCATTGAGGAAGAGACATGTGAATAGGAAATTCAAGCAACTTTAGTCATTGGCGTGAGTCAAATACAAATAATCTTGCATGAACAATTAGGTGTAAAAAAGTTGTTTTCCCGATGGATACCGCATTCGCTCTGTAAAGAGCAAAAAGTGGCTCGCGTTACTTGGTGCGTCAGAACTCTCGAAAGATTCCACGCAGGATCCTCAAATGCTGTATACAACATCGTATCAGGTGACGAAACAAAAAACCAGTCATGAGTTTGGGTGTTCGAAAATGAGTTAAAGCCAACAAAAATTGTTCGTTCACGGAGTGTTGCAAAAATAATGGTGGCCACGTTTGTCTCCAAAACCGGCCATGTTACGACTACTCCTCTTGAGGGACAAAGAACGATTAATGCAGAATGGTATACTAGCATTTGTTTGTCACAGGTCGTTTCTGAACTCCGTAAAGAGAACTGCAACCGCCACATCATCCTCCATCACGACAATGCAAGTTCCACACCACATACAAGAACAAAAGAGTTTTTAAAGCAAGAAAACATAGAATTATTAGACCATCCGCCGTACAGCCCCGACCTAAGCCCTAATGATTTCTATACTTTCCCTAAAATAAAGAATAAATTGCGTGGACAGAGATTTTCATCACCTGAAGAAGCTGTGGACGCCTACAAAACGGCCATTTTGGAGACCCCAACTTCCGAATGGAATGGTTGCTTCAATGATTGGTTCCATCGTGTGGAAAAATGTGTCAAATTTCGCGGAGAATACTTCGAAAATCAATAAATACATTTTTAAATAGTAATGTTGTGTCACTTCCTAGATTCCCGAAATTTTCAGTGCTGCCCTCGTACAATATCTTAATGCATAACCGACCATATTTTCTTTAAAAATAATTCTTAAATTTACGAAACGATTGCATATATATATATATATATTGCATATATACTGATATATAAATCGTAAAGAAATTTAGTACGGTATTTAAACAAAAACGTCACGTTTTCTTGTAGTTCAGCCGGGGACCCGGGGATGAGTAGGTAAAGGTAGGTACTATTTTAATTTTAACGTACTTATATAAAGTATAAAATAAAAGAAGAACGATATGACAGTCAATTCGTACGCGTGACACTCAATTACACGCACATTTTCTTTTATAAAACCGTAGTATTCTAGATACTATTAATATTTATTTTACATCTTTTCAAAATATTGTCCATCATGCTCTATACAAAGTTCCATTCGCCTAAAACAACTGAAAACACTTTTGCCAATCTTGATCTGACAGGTCTGAAATCGCTTCTTCGATTCGAAATTCGAAAAGCGCGGGAAACGTTGCAGGAAAATTACTAGAACATTGTTTTTTTTTAAATATTGAGCAATTGACTTATGGAGTTCCATTTTTAAATAAATTTGCTTTTTAGAAACATATAACAAGGGTGCGTTCCATTTTTAAATTTCGGGCATCTCAAAACTTATTTTTTTTTTGCGCCCGAAGCAAATATGGGCAACCCTCCGGAAAGCGGGGGAGGGAGGTCGGGAATGCTCATAGCATACCACGCAGCCGGCTGCGTGGTTATGTGGTGACTTTTACCCACTAAACCCAACCTTTTAGGAATTGGTTTAACGATCTGACTAGAGATCTCTAAGCCGTATACGAACGCGACCCTCCTTGGCAGAAAGGAGGGCGCAAGCGGCGAAAAGCCGCTTAGAAGAGTGCCTAACTAAGGCAGATTAAGGGATGTGTTATGTAGGCTCGGCCTGAGCCGCCAGGAGGCAGTTCAGGTCAGCCGAAAGCTTGTTGGGGGGGTCCGAGAGAGTTTCTCGGTCTGCGCACACTATAGCGAGTGTGGATAGGGGCTGCATAGGCAGCTGTCTCACGAATGAGATGATTTGTGTGGGACTCTGAGGCTTTGAAAAATCTCTCAGAGAGTGATTTAAGGAACTGCTGGATTGTTGGGAGCTCTACGTCTCGATGTAGGTCGGCATTACGGACATAATAGGGCGAGTTAGTGGCCCTACGACAGAAGCAAAACTTATCGAGTGACCTACGTATTATACTGGCTTACACCCTTCGAAAACAGCGGTGCACTGCAATTTGGCGGTAAAATTTGGGTTGTACCTAATCAGACGGACTCCTAGAGGGAAAAGGAGGCCTTTGTTATGCAACAACGTAATAAAGAGTGCCAGTCGTAATTTACAAAGTATACATCGAACACAGTTTTTTTGTAGTTTTGCTGCTAGTGTCACGACAGTCACGTGTTAAAGAAAGGGTTGCTAGAAGGTGGCTACTGCTGGGCGGTTAACCAAGTTGACTTTCTACAATTAACTAAAATGAAATGAAAATTTCATATTATCGCGCTCCAATACACAACATAACAACGTTGATTTCAACGTCATTCAAAGACATTTAAGTAGTAGTAATAGAACAAACATGTATCTCCGATTTTTGTCATTTAGTCTTAGTGACATCGTCAAAATGTCAAGACGCAATCGTTTCGTAAATTTAAAAAATATTTTTAAAGAAAATATGGCCGGTTGTGCATTAAGATATTGTACGAGGGCGGCACTGAAAATTTCTGCAATTTAGGAAGTGACACAACATTATTATTTAAAAATGTATTTATTGCTTTTCGAAGTATTCTCAGCGAAATTTGACACATTTTTTCATACGATGGTACCAATCATGGAAGCAACCATTCCATTCGGAAGTCGGGGTCTCCAAAATGGCCGTTTTGTAGGCGTCCACAGCTTCTTCAGGTGATGAAAATCTCTGTCCACGCAATTTATTCTTTATTTTAGGGAAAGTATAGAAATCATTAGGGCTTAGGTCGGGGCTGTACGGCGGATGGTCTAATAATTCTATGTTTTCTTGCTCTAAAAACTCTTTTGTTCTGTGTGGTGTGAGAACTAGCATTGTCGTGATGGAGGATGATGTGGCGGTTGCAGTTCTCTTTACGGAGTTCAGAAACGACCTGTGGCAAACAAATGCTAGCATACCATTCTGCATTAACCGTTCTTTTTCCCTCAAGAGGAATAGTCGTAACATGGCCGGTTTTGGAGACAAACGTGGCCACCATTTTTTTTGCAACGCTCCGTGAACGAACAATTTTTGTTGGCTTTAACTCATTTTCGAACACCCAAACTCGTGACTGGTGTTTTTTTTCGGGTTCGTGCGCGTATATCCAGGATTCGCCACCGGATACGATGTTGTATACAGCATTTGAGGATCCTGCGTGGAATCTTTCGAGAGTTCTGACGCACCAAGTAACGCGAGCCGTTTTTTGCTCTTCACAGAGCGAATGCGGTATCCATCGGGAAAACAACTTTTTTACACCTAATTGTTCATGCAAGATTATTTGTATTTGACTCACGCCAATGACAAAAGTTGCCTGAATGTCACGGTATGTCACATGTCGATCTTCCTCAATCAGCTTACGCACAGCATCAACTTTTTCTTGGGTGACTGCAGTTTTTGGACGACCTTGACGGGGATCATCACTGAGCTTGACACGTCCACGTTGAAATTCAGCATACCAGAGATAAATTGTGGTTTTGGATGGGGCTTCATGACCAATAGTATAGTAGAGGATATATAGGAATATATAAGTATATATCCTCTACTATACTATACTACGATAATCACTCCTATGAGCCAATCTATGGGGAAGGCCTATAATATATAATATATAGGGGAAATAAATAATGTAAATGCTAATATGTACCCGTAGGAATGTACCATTTCATGCTTTATTGTCTTGTGTGTCTGCGTAGTCTGTGATTTGCTTAAAACAATAACAGAAAAAAATATTATTGTACCTAATTGAATATACCAGAATGAATGTCTGCTAAAACGTTTGTATGGTGTTGTGATTTTAGCAGTATAAACTCGGCGTTCGATGAGCTGCGAGTGCACGTGCCTACATTCCCGTACGAGAAACGGCTCAGCAAAATTGACACGCTTCGGTTGGCCATCGCATACATCGCCCTGCTAAGGGAGGTTAGTATTATGATTGCTGTGGTTAGTATAACACAAGTGGTAAAATTAAAAATTTTGTGCAACCGACTTGCATATAAGTAAATAAAATGAGAACATCGTCAATGTAGTCGAAGTCAATTAAATACGCATTATTAAGGATAACTCAAAAACTACCAGTCAGGTCTTGATCATTTCTATATGGGGCCACATAAGAAGCTTCAGCTTGCAAATACAAAAAAAAGTAATCATCAAAATCGGTTTACCTAGAAATTAAGTTCTAACATTAAAAATAATACACTCAAATTGAGTTCCTCCTCCTTTTTTGAAGTCGGTTAAAAACAACTCTTCGAATGTTACTCATAGTACTATAAATATGATAACTTTCACTTTTCTGTTTCTTTAGTTGTTTGTCTAATGATATTGGACGTAGAAGAAAGTCGATGATGATGTCTAATACTTAGGACATAAAGTAAAAAAGAAGTAAAGTTACAGCCTATATACGTCGCACAGCTGGGCATGGGCCTCCTCTCATTTCTGAGAGGGTTTTAGGACAAGGAAGTGTCTGCCGCACTGCCCCGATGCGTGTTGACGAACTTCACAAGGCTTCGAAATATATATTTTTTCTTATTTGTCAGAAATGCACGTTTCCTAACGACGTTTTTCTTCACCGCCGATCGCACGTGATAAATCAGCACTTAAAATTGCAATAACAATTTCATTGGTGCCGGCAGGGACCGAACCCGGTTTGCTCGCGTACTGTGATATTTACAGCGAGCTCTAACCATCCGAGCTACCACGGGACATGGCATGTTTTAATTACAATGATTACTACAGTTCAATCATCGCCCATTGGACCGGCCGTATAAGTTAAGCTAGCTATAAACACAACTTTATACTACGTTGCAAGTTTATGGTTTCAATCTTTTCCAAATCCATTATATTGCAGAAGCTCGAAAAGGGTATTTGATATATAGTTCATGGAAAAACTTTTTCAGGGTTTTGCTCTATTTTCTTCCTAGATAATGGTCACTAGAGCCGATATTTTTTGCAACCTATCTGAAGGAAACTTAAATAGGTGATGGATAGGCAGTAGGATCTTTCTGATATCAACTCAAAATAATAAAAAAACTGCGATAGCACCCCGCCTGCTAAGCATAGCAACTATGGCAAAATCCCTCCTATGAGGCAATCTACGGAGGAGGCCTATGGTAGCCCGTATTCTTCTGTATTTTTTAGTAATTAATTGTTTTAATAAATTGAAACCTAAAACTACTAAAGTGATCGGTTTTTTTTTGATACAGTTTTAAGTGCTAACCAATAATTTCAGTTCTTACAAAGCATTTTTTATTTCATAAATATATGAGTTTTAATATCCACCAGACCGAAATTCGATCACGGCGGCTGGTCTCAATGGAGACTAGCCATCGGCGCAGGACAGGATTATAGTACACTAGTGTATGCGCAAGCACAGGTGCACTCTTTATTCCCTCACTCTCGTAGTCCGATGGAAAGGTAAACCGTCACTACCGGAGTGAGATCAGGCGCAGGACCAACGGCTTTACGTGCTTTCTGAAGCACGGGGGTGAAACGCAGCCAACTTCCTCAGCTTCTGAGAATTTCTTGACAGAAAAACTCAATACCTAATTTTTTGGTCCAGCCCGGGATTCAAGCTCGGGACCTCATGATCAGAAGTTGCGTTAACAGCCACAAGATTAATGAGACAGTAAGTATATAAGAGTATATTATAGCACCCTACACGGCTGATGATGTAAGGGACTATTAGAGATTATAAGTTTTCAAGTTGCAACCGTACTCAACCGACCGAACGTCTGTACAAAAATGAAAACATCGGTTAATTTTTTGCCAGTTCTAAAAGAGATATGTATGAGATATATGTTTATATTTCTAGTGATGATAGTTATCTCTTAACAAAGATATACTGTCATTTAATTTTTTTTAAAGTGACAATAGGGGGACAATCCATCCGAAGGTAGCAACAGTTCATAAATGCATGCAAACACTTTCAAAGGCATATTGTCAACTGAGAACGGTGGAATGCTTCACAGCCCGGTAACACACTAGGTCTCTTTACCCTTCAAATTGGAATACAACGTCTGGTAAACGTATATAAGAGGTTACCAACAAGGATTCATTCTAAGACAGAAAAGACCCCAACCATCTATTGTTTGTTAATTCCTATTTAAGTACTTTTTTTTAAATAAAATAAGAGTGGCAAACGACCATACAGTCAACCTGATGGTAAGTGGATGCTGTGGTCCATAGATTTTTATCTTTGATTAAGAATGACAATGCAGATGCGCTGTCACCCCCGAGGACAAAGATGGAATGCCTCGTTTCCAGTAAAAAGGGTGTCCAGTTCTACAATCACCATACGAAACACAGCAGCATTTCAAGCCGGTATTCTGTGAAAGCGTAACTATAATATTACAGTAGCATGACTCTACATAGAATTAAAAAATATTAAAGTATTAGTCTTTTTTATTATAGGTCTTAGATGCTGACTACGATCCACTTACGTATGTGGAGAAATGTCTCCGAGGTGAAATCAAAGCTGATCGTGCACACTGGAATACAAGTGGTTAGTCGCAAACTCTTGTCATGTCAGCCTCTTTAGGTTCTTTGAATTTCAAATCAAAACTCTAAATCATTATTCGAGATCCAATTTAAACAAACAATATTTTATTCACAATACAGCATTCAAATAGATTGACAAAGAAAGACAGGAGTGGCGTAACATTGATAAGGATATTATTATATATCTATATATTGATAGTATATTCATCTTGCATCGAATAAAATACGGAAATGAAAATTCGATTTTTAATAAAAAATAAATGCTGACTTAAAAAAAATTAAAAACAATTCCACTTATTAGCTTCAGAAGTCAGTGCTAAGATATAGTGTCATAGAACAATTAAAGCCCCGTATCAATATCGTAAAAATATCAAAAGCTACAAAAAAGAACGTGCACTCGAATTGACGACCGCCCCCTTTTAAAAGCTTATAATTATTAACTTACAAAATGAATTTTAAAGCAGTTGTCATCAACCGAAAGTTTTGCATATATCTATGTTTAGTTTGGATGATAATGCATGGGTAGTTAAGTGACGGACGGCTTAAGAAGGCTAGGCTAGGCTAAAAGGATATTGGTATTGCTGCGAAAAATACGAAACTAAAATGACACTAAATCCAATATGGTGAACACCGAAAGACAACAGACTATGTATTTTCTATACACACCTATGATATGGATATCAAATGAAAGTTTTCTGAGAAGAATACTAATAAAATGACGGCTACATTCAGCTCTTCGAGATGTTGTACTACTACACGACTATACCGTAAGGCTTAGCCAGGTCGTGTCTTAACTATAATATCCGGCCTACAACCGGGACAAATTCTAACCGAAACGAAAAAATTTAAATGGCGGAATACAAGATAGTCGCTATACCAATTATAAGATTTATAACTCGGCGAAGGTTAGGGATAGTTTAGTGGTGTTAGAACAAATGTTGCAGGGACCGACAAACGTCAGATAAAAAAAAACAAGATGGTGGATCTAAGATGGGGATCAAAAAAAGAAAATGACGCATTAATTTAAATTAACAGACATAAAAAAAATGTCCACCAATAACTAAAAATAAATTGATAGTAAAAAAAAAATTCGAATCAAGCTTTTATTGAAATACTCTAAAACGATGCTCTCTCGCTTGTCGTGAATTTACCTGATTATTTATTCTGTGTGTGTGTGTGTACATTTTTTTTAAAGAATAAGGGTGACAAACAAGAACACAGTCCACTGATGGTAAGTGGTCGCTGCGGCCCATAGACATCTACATCTATCCTCGATCACGAACCAAAATGCAAATGATGTGTCACCCGTGAGGACTAAGATGGAACGCCTCGTTTTCAGTAAAAAAGGGTCTCCGGTTCTTTACACCCACCATACGAATAGCGGCGTTAAGCTGCTATTTTACGCTGAGTATTCTGTGAGAGCTCGGTCTTTCCCCGGTCGAGCCGACCCATCCGTGCTACAAATATATTACTAATATAGCTGCAGTATGGCGCTACCATGTAAAAACATAAATTAACTCGATATTGACATAAGTAGGTAGCTCAAAGAATAAAATATACTTTTAGAAATATACTTTTTTATTGAATAGATAATAATGTAAACTTTTTTTTAATTAGGGATGAGTGAGAGTGTTATAAACTTAAGAGTAGACAAATATAATCAGAAAGCTCCGAACTGCTAAGCTATCGGGAGTTACACGTGTTATTGTGAGTCAACCATAAAAGATAGACATATGCTGTCGTGGGATATTTTTTATATAATTTTAAGGAGAACATTTCCGTTATACATGATTTCTGTGTAGCTTTAACCATTAAGGCTGCACACGCGACGGAAGCTTAAAAAATGGAGTAATTTCTCCCGTTTCCCCAACATTTCCCTTCACTGCTCTGCTCCTATTGATCGTAGCGTGATGAAAAGTATACTATAACCTGCCCAGGAGTATGAAGAATGATTGTACCAAGTTTTGTTAAAATCCGTCGAGTAATTTTTTGTTTCTATAACGAACATACAGACAGACAGACAAAATTTTACTGTTTGCATTTTTGGCATAAGTATCGATCACTAATCACCCCCTGATAGTTATTTTGGAAATATATTTCATGTACAGAATTGACCTCTCTACAGATTTATTATAACATCATATAAATGGTGCAATATAATAAATTGATGTGTTTGATTTAATTTAAAGTTTATTTTCTTCTTTTTAAAGCATTTCAATAAAAGCTTGTTTTTAAAAATGGTGTTTATTCTATTAATTTGTTTATAAAATAGTGTTGTAAAATTTATAAAAAAGCTTATAATCAATTAATTAATGTTTTAAATCAATCAATTTTAATGATATGGATCTTATGTTATCTGAAATAAATTAATAAATAAATAAAATAAAAATAATTATATGTTAGGATTTTATCGAAAAATTTGTCAATTTCGAATTAAATAATAAAACAATCTTACGGATGTTTTTTTAGCTAAGTTCGCCGCTGCATTTAGCCCTATGCAAGAATGCATCAGATGACCCAGTTCTTGGCAGATTTGTTATGTTCATCACGCTTGCCAAACTAATTCGTGAACGCAGCACTTATACTAGTTTGTCTACTTTCCTTTACCAGCTAGTCTGTTAGTTTCATTTTTTCTCTTTTATTAGCAAACGTGCCGGCATTTCCCCTTTACATCCCAATATAAGAATGTTATATTTATTGCAGATCTCACTGCGCGACTATCTTGGATAAACTGGGAAAATCTCGGCGTGAACCCTCAACGCCGAAGTGTCTTGACGTCCCTTGCACTGAGCTCGGAGAATTTACAGTACACGCACAATTAAACGAAGAGTTATGTAGAGCACGAACTCCCGATGATTTCTAATGATTCCTATATTTGAAAAAGTACCATTTCTATAAAAGTGTTACAGTAGACACGAATATTACATATTACAGTAACGTGGAACCTACCCAAGGGCCTTTTTTTCCACCCAATTCCACCAGGAACTATGTGCAGATATTTTGTCTTACCAATTTACGGATAGACAGATCAGAGATAGAGAGACGCACCGTTTTTAATTTTTAATTCTAAAATAGTATGTTTTGTAGCTCAAACTTATTGATTGTCGGTCGATTAATATAAGTCAAAAAAATGTATAAAGTAGATCCGTTATTAGCTATAAGTTTATTTCTTAAGTTTTATATACGTTGCAATTAGAGCTGTGGATCTTAAGATCTTAAGAGAAAAATAAAATAAAAATAAAAATTTACACGATTGTGTGTTGTAATGCGGATAGTGTTTGCACTAACCACTGACTCCGTAACAAATAACTATTCTGGCAGCGGGATCAGTATGACTACCACCAGGCTACCTCCTAGCCTCATGCAATGCAACCAAAACAGATCTAGAAATCGACTCCTGAGATAGTGAGTGATAGCTCTTATAATGCTGGCTAATAAACCTTTTCATAAAAATATGAGTATAATAATACTATAATAATAAATATAAACTACAAGTTGTCTTAGGAACATTTATTCAAGTGTTGTATTGATTAGCATAATATAGAAAAAAAAATCTATATACGAGTATCGTATTAATGTATGAATAATCATTGTTACTCTAATAAGCGCTATAGTGGGCTATAAGTACTTTAAATGCATTTTCGTAATAAGATTGTAACTACTTACAAACTATGTTGTATACAAATAGAAATTGTAATATTATTACATTAGGAATGAAATTATCTAATACTTTAATATTCTTCATATCTTATTTCTTCTTATCTCACTATTTTATATTTTCTCTAGTCTTCCATGTAGTAAAAGGTAGTCAAGTTTGACATAAGATCTTACATAAATTACTAAAACGTAAAAATATTTATTTATTAATAATCGAGTATATATATATATATATATATATATATATATATATAAACATAAAACATAAACACTCACGCCTGTCACCCAGAGGGGTAGGCAGAGACTACAGACTTCCATTTGGCACGATCCTGACACACCTCTCTCGCCTCCTTCACATCCACACACCTCCGCATACATGCTCGTCGGTTAAGGGTACTCCTAATTTGGCCCGTTTTCAATAAATCGCCAATTTGGTCGATAAATTTTCGCCTAGGACGTCCCTTTCCGACTCTGCCATTCACTTCTGCAACATAAATTTTCTTTGTCACTCTTTCCTCATTCATTCTTTCCACATGACCAAACCACCGAAGCATTCCTTTCTGAATCCTGGTCACAACATCATCTTGCAAACCACACTCTTCTCTTATTACACAATTTCTTACCCTGTCATTAAGATTCAGCCCTAACATACTCCTTAACGACCGCATTTCTACTGCGTTCATTCTACTCTCGTGCTTCTTCTGCCACACCCAACTTTCACTACCATATGTTAAAGTAGGGACCAACACAGCATTGTGAATTGCCATACGTGCCTTTTTCGACACATTTTGACTCTTCACAATAGAGTGCAGGGCCCCATTTACTCTATTTCCCGCATTCACTCGTCGTTCTATATCCTTATCATATCTCCCATCCCTGCTAAATACGCAGCCCAAATATACAAACTCGTCTACTTGCTCGATCAACTCCCCTTCTATTCTTATTTCACAAATCGTTTTACTTTCTTCTCTTTCAAAAACCATAACCTTCGTCTTACTTGCGTTCACTTTCATACCCCTTTCTTTTAATGATCTGTTCATTAATGTAACCATCATTTGCAACTCGGCCGCCGACGACGCAAGTATAACTTGATCATCGGCGTACAAAAGGCATTTGACGGTTAACTCACCCATTCTTAATCCGCATTCTTCAACTTTCAAATTTTGCAAACAACTGTCCATAAATAGGTTGAACAGCCACGGGGAAGCTACACAGCCCTGTCTGACACCTTTATGGATGTCAAACCAGTCCGAGTAGACCCCGTTGATCCTAACACAAGCACTAGAGTCCCTATAAAGGGACTCCAATGCCCGTATCAAGCCAGCGCTCAACCCAAATGAGTTCAGTGTTTGCCATAGCACATCCCTATTCACTCTGTCATAGGCCTTTTCCAAGTCCATGAACGCACAAAAAACCTTTTGGTTTTTGGCCAAAAACTTCTCCGCGATCATGCGCATGGAAAAGACTTGATCTGTACATCCCATTCCCTTTCTAAATCCTGCTTGCACATCCCAAATTTTTCCATCAGTTTCTTTCATGACCCTTTCAATCAGTACCTTAGCATACAGTTTTCCCACAATGCTAAGAAGGCTGATGCCACGGTAGTTTTTACAGTCCTGCTGCGACCCTTTTCCCTTATATACTGGGACTATCACGGCTTTGCACCAGTCTACCGGTACCCGCTTCAGTTCCCAGCATAAATTAAACAAGGTGTGCAGCAGGCCTGCCACCACTTCCTCTCCAGCCCTTAGCATTTCGAGTGAAACTCTATCATATCCGGCAGCCTTACCTGCTTTCATGCATTTCATTGCTTTCATTATTTCACCTACACTAATCTCGCTACCTCTTTCCTCTTCCTTCGGAATTTCTACTTCACTTAGTACACACGTTGTCTCCTCACTCATAAACACGCTTTCAAAATATTCCTTCCATCTCTTTAAACTCAAAACTTCATCATTCAGAATATAGCCATTCTCGTCTCTTATAGCATTCATCATAGGCTGTTTTGAATGTCCCCTGGCAGTTCTTACAAGTTTCCAGAACATTTTAATATTTGCCTGGAAATTATCCGATATTCTTCTATCATTCTTATCCGTTCTTTCTTGCTTTTTTCTTTCAACTACTTCTTTTACTCTCTTATTAAGATGTCTAAAGACTGCCTTTTTTCTTTCAATATCATCATTCGTACCGCTAGAATTACCAGCCTTTGTTGCTAGTAAATCTAGCCATGCTCTCTTCTTTGCTTCAACTTCCATACGTACCTCATCATCCCACCATAACGTATTATTTTTCCTTTCATTCTTTCTCTTACTAACACCACATACTTCGGTAGCTGCATCCACTAAACCTTTCTTTACATTTTGCCATACATTCTCCAAGTCTAACTATATATATATATTATATATATATATATATATATATATATATATATATATATATATATATATATATATATATATATATATATATCTTGCTATAACGACAAAGATTCAATTTAATATGTAAAAAAAGTTTTTATGCAGTATAGTTCATAATTTTAAATTCAAAGAAATATTTTTTTCCTAACCCAGAAAACTATAACGTAACTAAATAGTAATAGCATTTTGCTATTATTATTAAGTTACGTTACGTTACGTTATAAAGCACGTATTAAACAATGACTTATGTATGTACAATTTACAGATTTTACAGTCAGTACCTACACTCAACACTTGTACATAGAAATAAATACAAGATAAGTGCAATATAAATTATGATAATATAATATGCAAGCTGTTAATTTGTCAAATGGTTATTCGTATATTGATATTTTAAGTTTTATGTAATAGGTATGCTGAACGCAGCCTCTACTATGATCATTGATTTTGTATATTACATATTACAGTATATATATACAAAATCAATGACTGATGTAATACAAAAATAACTGATATAAAATACAACTGATGGAAAATATAGGTTCTAGAGTAATAGCTTTGTCCTGGGTAAGTCTAGTTGGGACAGTCCTCAGATGGAGTGTTGATCTGGCAGAGTGGTGGATATGTAAGACTATGAGTCAAAGGAAAGTTATTTTGATAATAGTTCACCTAATAATAAATAATAATTATATACACAAACTACAAAAGAAACTTGATATTATAAAATAATAGACGACCTATTACCCTGTATCATGGTTTCCGGTTTAATACGGTATTAAGACGTGAAAGAACTAGATCGGCAAATAAATGCAGTCGATCTCTGCGATCCAGCACTGCGATGACCAATCCTTTTATTAAGATGATTATAGCAATCCTCTTTGCAATGAATAAAATAAGAAAAAATATACAAAATTATAAAGAAAAGTATTTGTTAATCCGATAAGTAAATAAGCAAAACAGCTTAAATTACATTATACAATTTATATTAGCATCTTAGCGGTTGTTTTTAATAAATGAAGTAATATATATTTATAATGTAATAGTTGTATAAAGACCACAACGTCCACTTACCATTGGGTGAAAAAAACGATTGGCGCGATAACAGCAGGTAATACGCAAATTGTAGTAAATTATTATGTCATAATAAATAAGTACCTTCACAACATTTTATACCGTAACGTAGGGGGTTATAAATAACAATATATGAATAACCAAATGCATTGTAAGAGTAAGTTAAGACGGTAAACATTTATTAAAACTTAAAGACATAAATGTTGTTTTATTTTAACTGATTTTAGTCCAGACTCGTAGAACGCAATCTAGCTTAATTTTTATAATTTATAAGGGACGAATGACATATAATAATTAACCCGTTTTCGACCAGGCAGTAATTTTCAAATTCAAATCCATACTCTCCCATGTAACCGGCTACTGCGTGTACCTGCCACGTGTAATTGTGAATATTAGTCACGTGTGACAAGCATAAAGTATTTGGGAGTTATTCTTGATGAAGGTCTTAGCTGGGTCCCACAAGTAAATGCTCTGGCGAGTAAAACAAGGAGGCTAATTTATATATTTAAAAATGTACGTGATGTGGCTAGTTATGATTATCTTTTGTTAACTTACAGGTCCCTGTGTGAGAGCATTATTTCATATTGTATTTGCGTCTGGGGGCGCGCAGCAAAGATGCACCTCATACTACTAGAGCGTGCGAAACGCGCCGTCCTAAAAGTTATGATGCGGTTGCC